TATTTTGATGATAACACAAAGTTCATTTTTTCACGAAATTCCTTTCTTTATTTCTCAGAATAAATACCTTTTTTTAAAAATCTACCACTAAACTACTTTTTTTCTTGTAGTACTACATCAGTAGAAGGCACCTAAATTTTTAGCCATTTTTATAGAAAAATAAAAATATTATGAATTTTTTTGTAAAAACAGCTATTTTTTCATTTTTTGGGGCTATTTTAATTTTTTTATCACACATAATTTTAATTTTTGGCTATATAACCTACATAATAATGTTTAAAAGTAAGCTCTTAAGAAGTTCTAAAAAATTTGGCAAGTTAAAATATTGAATAGCTTATTTGTTATAACAATTTTTGTCGCTGGGATAGATTCCACCCCAATGGGGCAAGTACGTGACTTCTTTCAGAAGTGTGGCGAGTAAGGATTAAACATCTATGGTTAATCTATACAACGCCTAAAAGAGATATATCAATACGTCTAATGGAGGTCGAATGGAGGTGTGAAATGCCGAACTATGGATGCTTAGTAGACGTCCATGGGAAGTTACATAGATGTATAATGGAGGTTTTTAATCTCCATGATGGACATCTAGCGGGCGTTTATTAGAGCTTTTTGTTCTGTGTAATGTATTTTATGTGCTTGTGTATAACCTGCGTGCGCATCACAAGCACATGACTTTGGGGGAGGCCTAGGTCCGAGTCGGACTGTTGCGCCATTTAAAAAAATATATATGTTTTTCACGTTAATTATTTTGTAATAATTTAGAATACGGGTTCAACGTCCAATACTGATAAAATTATTTGAAAAAAGTAAAGCGCGCCACTAACCTATAGGTTAGTGGCGCGCTTTACTTCTTAAAATTTCGTGATTGTGGCCACGGCGCATGCTTGTATCGCTGCATTTCGTTGATGACAGATTTTCTAATCGCAATAGGGTCGATTTAAACACAGCCGTGCCGTACCCGTACCGTATCCGTATCGTTAACATTAGACAAGGATGGAGACACATTAGACAAGGATGGAGACAATAGGAATCCTAGTCTAATGTTTCTGTCCGTGATACGGTACGGGTACGGCACGACTGTGTCTGAATCGACCCATAATCGACAACTTAAACGATTTGTTTTGGTTTGTACTCTGCTCTAACTAAATGCACAAAAACAGTTAAATACAAAATATCATTATATCATTCGTAATATATCATTTGTTTATGATCCGTGCAATTTTTATCCCAGAACATTTTCCGTATAAATTTCGGTCACGTATTTGCATTGCTAATGATGTCCTAAACCACAATAAGCAACGGATTATTGTTCAATTGCTGGACTACGAGTACGCCATTGTAAGATTTAAGATGTGCAGGTTGCAAATGACAAAATATTTATAAGTAAGACGCGTCGAAGTACACTACATATGTAGCTACGGATCATGCGCATGTGGCCACGGGGCACGTTCAGTCGCTTTTTTTGGTCGGTATGTCAGATTTTCTAACCTGAATAGTCGTCAACTTTAACGATTAATATCTCGCTTTGCGAGGCAGTGAGAAATAAGAAGTCGAAATACCTGGGGCAGCAAATGGTTGTATGACCTCTCAATTGATTAATGTGGGGACTGTGAAACTTGGAAGGATTTGCGGCATTTCCAGAAATCCATTAATTTTTTAGTTTTCATACAGTACAGAAAGATTGCAGAAACATCGCAGAAATATTTCATTACAAGATTGTTAAAAAAAATGTTAAACGTTACATTGAAAGTAAATGCCAAACACTTTGGCCATAAGCATGTGATGTATAAGATAAATCAGATTTCTTTGAATAAGTAGTATTATGAATAACATCTATGCCGTGTGTGTACAGCCGCCCGTCTGAAAAAATTCGCTCTTTCAGTCGGTAACCGATCACCCATCTAAGTATAGTAACCGCGTCCAACGTTGCTTGACATTGATGATTGAACGGCCTAGTGGGGATCTTCTGACTCTAACACTTCCTTCTTGCTTATACTCGTATATAACACATCTTTATATTATCAAAAAATCTTGTAATGATATATTAACTGGTAAATATAAAAAATGATGTCACAAAAATTTGGATATATAATAAATATTAATAATATTAATAATAATGTGGTAAATGGGCCAACTGTACGAGCTAAATAGAAAGATGTTATTTTAATAAATTAATTTATTTACTCGAGATAACTAAAAAGATAAAAAAATAATTAAAAGTAGATAAATGTTTCGGCTTTACTTACTCGGTAAAAATTTTTTTATTTAAAAACATCTAAATATATATAATTATATATTATTATATAAAATTGTCCATATATATCCATATTGTTTTTTTTTTCTTGTATAATCTCTGTTCGTATGTATGTACATACATGAAAAATAATAAGAAAAAAAATTAGATAATAATTAAAAAGATAATTTTTGCATTTTTTTTTACAAAAAAATAAAGTGTGCAAATGTGAAAAATTTGCTCATATATAATCTCTACTATTATATAAAAGAGAAAAGTTTGTAGTGTTGTTCGGGGTAATCTTAGAAACTATTGGAGTGATTTTGAAAGTATTGTATATGAAAAAGGAGTAAAATTTCCCGGGGAGTGCTATAGGGTGTATAGTTTTTCGTTACCGATCTTCTGGAAACCGGATTTTCTAATTTCTTCAATTTTTCGGGAAATAATTGACGGAATCTCAAAGAATTATATGTGAGACAGGGGTAGAATTTTCTGGGGAGTGATATGAAGTGTATAATTTTTCGTTACCGATCTTTTTTGGAACCGGTATCCAAAATTTTTCCAATTTTTCGGGAAATAATTGACTGAATCTTAAAGAATTGTATGTAAAACAGGAGTAAAATTTCCCGGGGAGTGCTATAGGGAATGTATAGTTTTTCGTTACCGATATTCTGGAAACCGGTTTTTCTAATTTCTTTAATTTTTCGGGAAATAATTGACGGAATCTCAAAGAATTATATATGAAACAGGGGTAGAATTTTTCGGGGAGTGATGTGAAGTGTATAATTTTTCGTTACCGATCTTTATTGGAACCGGTATTCGAAATTTTTACAATTTTTCGGGAAATAATTGACCGAATCTTAAAGAGATATTTTCTTAAAGAGATATTACCTCGATATTTTACTTACCGATTACCGATTTTATTCCTTGGTTTTTTAATTGAAAAATCGAGGTTCTGTGTACATCGCGAGCGACCAATCTCAAAATTCTCGAAAAAACGCCTGGGTAAACCAAGGAATGATGTCGCTGATCGGTAAGTGAAATATCGAAAAAGCGGAAATGACTCAATAGTGTGAAACTCGAGTAGAAAAAGACCGGTTACGACATGTTTAATCCACGAAAACATTTATGCGATCCGATTTCAAATTAGAGGCAGTTGTGATTCAAATTACGAATATTAATTTCATCCGAGTGTAATAATTGAGAAAATGGATGCAATATGTGATCATTGTCAAGTAAAAAAGTTTAAAACTTATAAGCACCTAGAATGTGTTATTCATGCAGAAAAGTTAAACTACCGTCTTTAAATCAACCACCCGACACACTCCTTATATGTTTGTCCACAATAAGGATATTGAAACACAAACAAAGTCGTTTAAAGAAAAACAACTCCCGGGCGAAGCCCGGGTAACCAGCTAGTTATATATAATTGTATTTTAAATACATTATTTATATATGATTATATATAATTATATATAGGTAAATAAATGAACAATGCAAACACAATAAAAAAACAATCCAAAAATTGTTTTTTTAATTATTTTCAAATTTTTTTTTTATTATTTTTTTTGTAGTACATACTAACAGAGATTATATAAGAGAAAAAAAACATGGACATATATAGACATATTTTATATAATATTTTACATAATATTATAGTATAATATATATTTAGATATGTTTTTATATAAAAAATTTTTTACCGGGTAGAAAATTAAAACAGCGAATATTATAAATGACTTGTCAAATCGATGTCGAATCAATGTTGAATCGATGAGTATTTTCAACATCGAATTAAAAGTATCATATTGATATCATTTCGATCTCGAATCGAGATTTTACATATAAACGGATGTGCACAGAGTTACAACAGTAAAATTGAACAAAACAGTAACAGGAGTGGCTGTCTATATTATTCATATCAGTTTATTTAAGGTTATTCGAAAATATGTCGAAATTCAAACAAACGTTGACTTTTTTACCCTTGCCAGCAATAATCGAGCTAATTTCGACGTCGTTTCAACATTATTGTTTCGATATTAGCTTTCTCACTGGGGACTGCCGCGTTTATCTGCCAGATTCTTTCCATTTCGTGCAAAAATCGTTGATTGAACATAATTTCATCTATAATCGCGTTCAGGCTTGTATTCTAAATAAATACCTTCATTTTTACCCTTTTCTATGCTAACTATTCTCTGCTTTAACAAAAAGACTTTTCAGAAAGATTTTCATTGATCGCAGATTTTATGCATGTACACACGTGCAGTGTACATGGCGTTGCAATCTGAGGACAGATATCTCGTAGGATCTCGTTGGATAAGGACAGAATGATTAAAATAATCGATATTTTTAATTCCGCTTAGATGAGAGCGCTTTCTCGTCGGAGTTCAGCCGTCACTCCAGGATCCCCTTAAATGACTTTTTTTTGTACATGTACTATTTCCATATACATTAGTCATTTGTACCTTTCAATACTCAAAATAACTGCTATACTTTTCAAACTTTTTTTGTTTATAACTTTTAAATAAGCAATGAGCGACGATTATGTTATAAGGAAAAGTTACTCAGAGTCATGTCCTTGACAACATATGTCAAGGTTAAGATCACTGGAGGTGGGTCACCTATTCGGTATATTTACCAATTTGACTTACACCACTATGACTTTTACCCCTCCATATATGAAAATAATAAGAAAAATTGAAAAATGATTAGAAAAATAACTTTTGTACATCGGTTTATTCATCCTTAATGTATAACGATTTAGTTGGATTGATCGGTACAAAGCTTGGTTGTGCGGAAGGAGGATGTGGAGCCTGTACAGTTATGATTTCAAAGTTTGATCGTGTTGCAGGAAAAATCATGTATCCTTTTCATAGTGTACTATAATATAATGATCTGGATTTTTTCTAAAAAATGTATTCCCTTAAGGCTCCTGAATACTCATCGTGGCCATGTTGGAATGTGACATCAGAAGCGAGAAATGACACGTTAAAAATTCTTGCATGGTATTTCCAAATAAATAGATATTTGCTTAAAATAACACTACAGGTCACTTCAGTACATTTTAAAAATACTCCGAGTTGCATCCCTTTCCCTTGAGTTATTAAACATCCGTAAAACGAATGTGAAACTATGCAGGCTTTTTTAGGGCCAGCGCACGAACATTCTCGTAGCGTCTTACACCTTACGTGAGAATCTTGCGTTAGTGCTGATCTACAACCTTGCTTTAAAGGGTATTTAAGCTCTAAGCCGTAAGAAATTGACCAATCACAGTGGAATGTGAGGAGAATACTCGACTGTGATTGGTCAATTTCTTACGGCTTAGAGCTTAAATACCTTTTAAAGCAAGGTTGTAGACCAGCACTTACACACAAGCCAATCTTACGGCAACGCACAAAGAAAAGGATAACGTAACGTAGGTACGTAACATAAGACTAATTACGTTACGTTTTTCTTTGTGCGTTGCCGTAAGATTGGCTTGCGTGTCGCGTAACGCAAGATTCTCACGTAAGGCGTAAGACGCTAAATTTTGCCCACGTATTTGCATTGCCAATGATGTCCTAAACCACAAGCAACGGATTATTGTTCAATTGCTGGACTGAGTATGCCATTGTAAGATTTAAGATGTGCAGGTTGCAAATGACAAGATATTTAAGTAAGACGCGCGTCGAAATACACTACACATGTGGCTACGGAGCATGCGCATGTGGCCACGGGGTACGTTCAGTCGCTTTTTTTGGTCGGTACGTCAGATTTTATAACCTGAATAGACGTCAACTTTAACGATTAAAAAGGTCGTGGCACATAGAAAAACTTAGGCAGTAAAACTCAAGCAGTAAGCAAATCAGCCAATCACAGTCAAGAACTTAAGGTATGGCCCTAAGCGGTAGCGAATCCATACCGTTAATTTCTTACTGCTTAAGTTTTTCTATGTGCCAAGACCCTAATATCTCGCTTCGCGAGGCAGACCGCCGCGTTTATCTGCCAGATTTTTTTATTTCGTGCAAAAACGCGTTGACTGGAAATGTTCGTGCGCTGACTAGGTTTTGTATTACATTCATTTTACGGCTATTTATTAACTGTCAAGGGAAAGGGGTAGACCTAACCTGAACTCGGAGTATTTTCGAAGTGTGCTGAAGTGATCTTAAGTGTTACTTTATGCAAATACCTTTTTATTTAGAAATGCCATGTAAATATTCTCAACGTGTCAAATCTCAACGTTTCTCGCTCCTGACGTCACATTTCACGAGATGTCGGGAAAGAGCCCAGGAGCCTTAAAATTAATTTCCTATATCTTATAAATCGAAACAGTCATTTGGCTGTTAACGCATGCTTAACACCGGTATGCGCCGTGCATGGTTTAGCTGTAACCACCGTGGAGGGTATTGGTAGCACAAAGACCAAGTTGCACCCGGTACAAGAACGTATTGCCATGGCACATGGGTCGCAGTGTGGATTTTGCACAGCTGGTATAGTCATGTCTATGTACGCTTTGTTGCGCAATATCCCAAGACCAACTATGGACAATTTGGAAACTGCGTTTCAAGGTGATGTATTTGGAGTATGTGCGTAGTACGTAAGGTCTTTACGTAGACAAAGCTGGTTCATATCATTGGCATATAAATGCATAATGCATAACATATAATTATATGTAACGTAATAATAATAATGAATTGATTACATATTTCCTAGGTAATCTATGCAGATGTACAGGATATAGACCGATTATAGAGGGATTCAAGATCTTTACGGAGGAGTGGGAACGATCGCAGTTAATGATTAACGTACGAGAGGAAGGAGCAAACAATACGAGAACTTGTTCAATGGGCGACGCCTGCTGTAAAAAGGTTTTTACGTCCGAACCAACTGAGATGTTCAATTCCAAAGAGTTCCGTCCGTACGACCCTACTCAAGAACCTATATTTCCACCAAAATTAAAAGTAAGTTACTTGACTTACTACTTGAAAAAAGGCCGTAGCCGGATAAAAAGGATCAATGTGCCCCCATACGGATCATGCTGATTTTTTTTTCTTTGATTGCTATCAGTGTCACTTACAAATTAGTCAAATATTAACCCTTAATATTGAACCGTTTTGGTGTAAAAAATAAAAATAAAAATTTTGAAAATAATTTAAATCTTTTGATCGGCTTAACACTGATTTTGATGAAATTTTAATATGTTGTAGATATCATTGAGACACATTTGTGGAAAATTCGGGAAAGGTTTCTGACAAAAACATTGATAAAAAAAATAAAAAATGTTTTTGCTTTTTTTTAGTCCCAATATCTTTGTGGTACAATTACGAAAAAATTTTTGTAGAATTTTGGAGCAGTTTTCTATCAAACATAATTTTTTGGAAGCAATAAACTGGGTAGGCGGTACTTTTAAAAAATAAAATATTCTTTTTTTTTTTTAAATATGATATGTGTTTAGTATTTTTAATCCGTCGCGATCGCGGATCAATAGGTACATGTAACGCTATTTCTTAGCCGACCTCTGAACGAGTTGATTTTGTGCCGCACCCCCGTCACCCTCAGACCGCGAAGTCTCTCTCGACGCGCTATCGATTCTGCCATGCCTGGATAGCGTGATCCTGCCAACGAAAACTATTGGCTGATGCGTGTCGCGCGCCCGAAAACTCCCGAAAAGGGTCCGCGAGAGCTCCGATCTCAGTAACGAAATAACTCAGTAACTTGCTTATACTCGCCGTCGTGCATACGCAATTACCGCGCCGTTAGTGCGTCCGCTAATTACCGCGCCATTAGTGCGCCCGCTCATTTATCGCGCCGCGCCGTTAGTGCGCCCGCTAATTACCGCGCTTTAGTACGCCCGCAAATTCACCGTCGCAGTATCGCGAACGGTGGATATTCACGTCTCTCTGCGCATTACTTGCCGCGCCGTCGTGCGCCTGCTAGTAGTAAGTGGGTAGGTATGAGGCGTCAAAACAAACCCCTACCACCGACCCCTCTGGCGCCAGGGGCGTGGCCAGACGGTCTGCCCACGTGACCTCGGAGCGCTCTGATTCGCTGCCGCGTGAGGAGTGGGGGTAACGAGGTAATTAAATGGAGCGTTTTGATTGGATACCCCATACCTACCCAGCGTCTGATTGGCCTTATTACCTAAAATGTCTAGTGTCTTTTTGGGACTTCACGTGGTAGACGACTACGAAACAAAAATGTTGGATTCAAAATAGTAACTAAATGGAGCGTTTTGATTGGATACCCCATACCTACCCAGCGTCTGATTGGCTCTCCCGCCTAAGGTGTCCAGCGTTTTTTTGGGACTGCAAGTGGTGGACGACGCTGAAGTCACGCAGGAAAATAGCGGAAGAGCCGACCAGCGTCATTTTGGCAGGAGCACGTGTTAGACAACGCTAAGCTCAAAAAAGGATAGGACGCTAAGATGCCGAAAACGGAAAGTAGAATTTTTAAAAGCGTTTTGCCTCGAGGGTGGTAGTCAGACAGAACGTCCAAAAAAAAATTTCCCACGACAGAACATCCCACGACATTATGTTCAAAAAAATAATATCCCCGTGACAAAATTTCCTGCGACAGGACGTCCACGCGAAACCAGGAGCCACATGGGTTCATAACTTTCCACGCGTGGAAAGCCTACGCATGTACTTTGAAGGCATACTATGTGTGTAGTTTAACCATAGTGGAGCCCCCCGCAGGGGGACGGAACCTACCACCTCCATGCATACGCTATCCACGCGAAACGAGGTGTCACATGGGTTTACATTCTCTTTATTTTATAACTTTTTTTATTTATTACACACCTATATTCGAATATGTGGCGATTGTAAGGGAATTGTGAATCCGATAAGGATACATTAGTAAGAGATGTTGTGCGAAATATTTGTTAGGTAATTCAATGCCTCGGCAGGATTATACGTATTTACAACGTTGCGAAGGCGAGCGTCTAAGCGCGCCTGTTTTATTCTCTTTGGGCGAGTCTCTCCCGCTTGGAATTGTGCTATTTGACGCTCTTGATCACTTTGTTCCATTTGTAGGCCCTCGATGAATTTCCAGATTGTAACATGATGTGCCTGCAAACGTACCGCGAATCCATGATGCCACCCTTCAACTGCGTTGTTGGTACGCGGTAGGTTTTCCTGAGTTCTGTTGTAGACATTCCAGAGTGCAATTGGAAAGCGTGCATCTCGTCGTTTTCCTCTTCGATTCTGTTTTCCGATCCATGTTTCCTCATAATAATCAAGTAGAGGTTGTAATATTACCTCGTTGCAAGTATAAAAATCGGTGTCAATGAGTTGTTCGTATGTGGAAATGACATCATTGACTGGAACAAATGCCAGTGCAATTAATTTTTTTAGCTGCTGTGCAAATTCCTCGTCCTGCGCATATCTTGTTTGTAATCCATTCGTCTGAATATGTTTCCAAATGCACTGCGAAAAATGAAAATAGCATCCATGCACTGTACTGGTCTGAAACACCTCTTGGAACACCTGTATGAAACTGAGTTCGTAATCTGTTGTTACGGCGGTTGGTTTGAGTTTCCGTTGCAGATTTTTTAATGCGCCCAAAAATTCGATGTAAATTTCTCGCGATTTTTTTGTTGTAAGTACGTATACCAAGGGAATTGTTGTATTCTCGTGAAGCCCGTGAATCGTGTATAATTGGGTAAATATGTTTGGTACCGTCTTGAATGTGCCATCAGCGTGCCATTGGTTGCAATTTTGTAGAAATTTTAAATTCTGCTTTGTGGTGAAAATGATTATGCGGTCCTGTCGTTTATTGTCGTAGTAGATAAATTTAGTATCTGCTTTTGTATTACAGTAATCACCCGTTATAATCAGATCCTCTGCAGTAGACGGATTTGGTGGTGGAGCATTTGCTCGTAATCGTGTCCTTTGAACCGTGCGGCAGAGTGAATGTGTAGGTGGCAACTGTGCTGCTACGGATGCAGTGATACCGGTACACGCAGCAGAAACAATGTTTTTCGTTGGATCATTAGATTCGATCGCTTTTCGTTTCATGTGGTTTGTAACTGCGATTTGCTTGACGTGCAATATATCCGGAGCGTGATTATGCGTCGTTTCGCTCACAACGGATCCTGGAAATTTATATCGGTGATGACGTCGTGAATATTGAATATAATATGTAATGTATAGGTGACACGTGAGGGGTGATTTTCGAATACATGTTGATGTTACCTGTCTCTTCCTCGGTTGTCGTTTGGCAACGCCCGGGACACTTTATCTCCTGCGCGTAGCGAGTGCATCGCCAAAACACTGTTGTTGTAGTTGCACGGTGCTTGTAGTAAATGAAACTTTGGTGCTGTAACAATTTGCCACCTTTTTGACTAGTTAGAAATGTGAGTGGCATTGCTTCTTGACGCAGTACAAGCTGAGTTGGAACTGCTGTTAGTGTTTACAAGCCGTTAATATGTACGCACGTGCTATTGTAAACAGATTCAAACATCTCTACAGTCGATGAGAAATATAACTGTCTTATAACTTTCCACGCGTGGAAATGATCATATATTAGTATGAACGCATGTACTAATGTAATACCGTAATAAAACCGACAATGACATAATTCATGTGCCGATTGTGTCGTGGGTGTTTTGTCGTGGGAAGTTTTGTCACGGGAATATTATTTTTTTGGACATATTGTCGTGGGATGTTCTGTCGTGGGATATTTTTTTTTGGACGTTCTGTCATGGATCCCTCGAGGGTAGGGGAAGAAAAAAGAACGGACAGGTTCGCTTTTGTGACGTGACGCGTATATGTTGTTTTTAGAGAATAGTTTTCATGATTTATGACCGTGTATTTTTAGGACTTGTGTTTGGACAAAGAGTTTACGAAATAATCAAATACGCTTGCTTTCAAAGTTTTGTCTACGTTATTTCCTGGGAAATAAGGGTGTAAAACAGGAACGGACAGGTTCGCTTTGTGATGTGATGCAACTATTTTAACGTAAAAGAAAAAGGAATGAATAAATAGACGGGAGGGGGTTGAAGATACAAACAATGTTTATTACATAAAATAATACATTGATACGAGGGAATAAGTATTTCTTTTAATTATTCTTAAAAGTACACGCCTGAATATGGCAGCATTCAGCGTGAGGTTTTACGCATGCGCTTTTATTATGAAGAAAAATGTTACGAAATAATTTTACAATCAAACGATCATTGCGTTTGCAATGTCGCTAAACAGATTAAGAAACTGGCTAAGATTATAACCGCTACACATAAAATATAAAAATACACAGCAGTATTGTCCGCAAGTTTGAGAGAGCGTTCCTTGTAGCGTCACGGTGTTCCATCGATGCGTAGTGGAATTCCGACGAAAGCGTAAGAGGAATCTGGAGTCTAAAAGTGATAGTCCGTAGCTATCGAAATACGTTTTTGCTCCTTGCTCGTTGATGTAAAAGACGACCCAATGTTGTCGATCGTGATCGTACGTGTTAGCGACGATAGCTGTCGACCTCGTCCACACCCTCGGCAGGATAGACACCCGCATATCTGACACTGAGATGATGCAACGCTTGTAAGATTTCTAGCGAGTTCATTTTTACACAGCGAGGTGGTAATCGCACGAGAGGAATTATTTGTATAATTTCGGAGTTTACCTTTTTTGGAGTTGTCGCACTAGTGTTCTTGGATGGTGACGGGCATATCAGCGAGTTATTGAAGATGTATTCTTTTCTTACGCCCGCTATTGAATAATATGCTTTTGCTACTTCTCCTTTCTCTTTCTTTTCTGTCTCGTTATTTTTTGCCACTGTTTTATTTTTATAGCAATGTCACTGTTGGTTTTTTCATCTTCGTCGTCGCTTGTGTCCAAATTTACGTGTGAGAGATTAGTATCGTAGCTCGAGTCGATGCTGTTGCTGCTACTACTGCTGCTACATTTGCTGTTGTCTCGCAAGACTATCCAGCGTTTCAATTTAAAAGCGTTACGTAACGCACAAA